AAAGAGCGAGAGAGAGCGAGAGACAGACAGAGAAAGAGAGAGACAGAGACAGAGAGAGTGGGTGGTTGCGTGTGTGTGCGTGCGTGCGTTCGTGTGTGTGTGCGTGTGTGCGAGCGTGCGTGCGTACGTGTGTGTGTGGACGGAACGAACAAGATAAGCGTACGAACGATAAACGAACGTCGACCGACGCTGGACACGAGGAGCACGAGAAGCACGAGGCACGAGCACGAGTCGCGTTCTCTCTTAAGCCAAATGTTTCTCTAGGTGGTAAGCCGCTTCTTTCTTATGTTGAGATGCGTACAATGAGGTTAACAGTTAACAGCTACGACAAATGCTCGCTAGGGCTACGTCTGATGGTGGGCGAGGGCGTGGCATGGCGTGGACGTGGAAGTGGGCGTGGATATGGATGTGTGTATGGGTAGCAATAGGTGGCAAAACGAGAGACAATTAAAGAAAAGAAGAAAAGAACACAAAGTAAATGATTAGTACATTAGTTGAAAATTCTCATTGCCTTTTCGCATGAAAATTTAAATGAAACACTTTTTCCCAGCGGTCACATCAAATCATCAGTACACACAAACACACTCTCACACACACACACACATACACGCACACACATATACACGTACATAGTTGGGATAATTAAAGCACACAAAATAAACAAGAAAAATGCAAATAAAACACAATTGAGTGGCTGCCACATCATCTTTGAGTGAGAAAATATTCTTTTTTTTCTGCCTGCGCGCCGTTTGAACTCTTGTTTATTTACGCTTTGATTTTTATGGGAAAATGCCAATGAAAACTCATGGCATGTATTTATTATGATTCCACTTATTGTTGTTTGTTCGTTTGTTTGTTTGTTTATTTGTTTTATTCCTGCTGCTTATTGCGTGCGGTTCAATTGAAAAAATAAACATTAAAAAAATAATACCAGAGATTGCACAAACAGCCCTTAATGGCCGAATTATTGGCGGATGATTGGGGGAACAAAGCATTTATGTGGCTGACAAAGTGTGTTGGAAGTGCGTGTCCGATACAAATCAAAAAATATCAAATATCTTTGATCAGGCGCCGTTAGCTGTTTTAGAGAAATGAAGTATACATCTGATTAAATTGAATTTGTTTAGCTTCATTAAATGTGTTACTTATTGCCAAGAAAATCATAATTTTTTTAGATATACAAGTAGATACATATAAGTATTTTTGTAAATTTTCAAATTAAATTTTAAGAAATCGAATGTCTTGAGTATTCATTTAAATAACAGAAACAAACAGAATTGGACTAAAATTATAAAGAATTTGTTAAAGAGACGGAAAGAGACGAATAACTACAATGGCAGATATAAATATTATTGACAATTTTGGATGTTTTAAGTTTTCATTTAAATAACAGAAGCAAACAGAATTGGATAAAAAGGATAAAGAATTTGTTAAAGAGAAAGGAAAGACTAATAGCTACAATAGTATAGGAACTTATGTAAATTTTCAAATTAAATTTAAAAAATTTGATGTCTTAAGTATTCATTAAAATCACAGAAACAAACAGAATTGGACGACAGTTATAAAGAATTTGTTCAAGAGACGGGAAAAGAATGAACAATGACAGATATATAATTACAAGTATTTTGTAAATGTTCAAATTAAATAAATAAATTCATTTAAATAACAGCGACAAACAGAATTGGACGACAATTATAAAGAATTTGTTACAATAGCTACAATCTCGACCAAATCAAATGAGTGTTGTAAATGAAAAAATCTAATACATTGTATGAATTGAGTGTTGTTAAATGTCAGTTAGACAATACTACTAATATCCTTTAATAAATAAAAATGCCATAAGAATGCCAAAGCTATACATTACTGTCCTGCGGTGTGGAATCAAAGAAATCGTTTTCGCTACTGCAACTGCCAACGCTGGAGAAAGTCATTAAAAAGTAATAGTGTTTAAAACACAAAAAAGTGTTACCTAATAACTAATAAGGTTTTTGTATAATTTCCTTGTATTTCCTCAATTTTACATTTTCGTTTGATCTTCTAAGAAGACGGACAAAAGTTTTGTAGTCATTTGTATGGCTGCTAACAATATTTTTAATAATGAACAAATTATAATGAATTGAATAGAAACCAAACTACTTTTGAACATGTTTTTGTTTAGTTATACGAGATGCATACCGAAACAGGATCCTTTCAAACTAGAAACACACAAAATGAGTTTATTTTATTCAAAATAATCTCATTTCGACTTAATACATTGAATTGCCTTGAACGCCAAGGAGCATTTCAAACGAATGTGTTAGGCATGTCCTTCGGAAGGTTTGTTTTGGCCTTCTGAATGTCCTTGTTGCGTTGTATTTTCATGGTTAAATGCAATTTCCCGAAACGAAAATACCGTTTGAGCCAATTCAGGCGAATATTGGGAGTTGTTGTCGAATACTCTACAGAGCAAATTGTTCGATTAAATTGTCATGAATCGTTGATTTGGAGCTTTTCTTCCATTTCCCTTAATTTGAACAAAAATGTGGGCACTTTTTCGACATTTAAATCTTCTAGAATCATTCTAGAGCCAACATTCTGTAGCCAACTAACGCAACCAAACATAAATATGTGGCGACATGAAAAAGGTCCTGTTTGCTTTGAGATGCACCTTTATGGGATTCGTTTGTTTCATAATTTGCATAGTTTTATTTAATTCTTTTTTTCTTTAATTATTTTCTTCATTCAAAATCTAATGTAATTTTTTTGCTTTGTTGAGCACGTGATAATGAAAAGAGCAGAACAAGAAGTGAACATTATTTCTTAAAAGAAACAACATTTTATGTACAAATTATAGTTGATTAAACAAAAAAAGAAAGTTACTTTTTAATGTGATTTGGTCTTGATAATCAAAACGAAGGTGAAACACAGCAAATTACTTATCTTTTCTTATTTTATTGCAATGCTTACAATTTTTTTGATGTTCTGAAAATTTTATTAGGGAATTGCTTTTCTATTTTTTTTTTTTTTATTATGTTCTTCAATTTAATGCTTTAAGTTAAATTTTGATTTACTAAAAATTGCATTAATTAATAATTTAATATTTAATTGAACCAAAAAATAAACGATTGCAACGAAAAGTCTTGTGATTCGTTCTCTCATAAAAGAAACAACACTTAACGTACAAATTATATTAAATAAAAAAAAAGTGATTTTGTCTTGCTTATCAAAACTCATCTTTTCTAACTTTTTTGGTTTATTATTTTCTTCAATTCAATGCTTAAAGTTTCTTTTGATTTTCTGAAAATGGCATTAAAAATTTCAATATTTAATTGAGAAACTGAAAATAAGCGATTGCAACAAATAAACGTGTTGTGGTTCGCTGCTGGCTGTCTCTACGAGTACATGGCCTAGATTTCGGCATGGAGGTTAGGCAACTAAAAATTAAACAATTGCTTTTATCTCAACTTAATGCTCTCTAGATCTGTGATGTGCTGTGCTGTGCATTACCTTTTAAGTGTGTTTGCCGCTCTTTAATCTAGTTACGAGTGTGGTCCCATGATGAATGGATGGCTGCTGCTCTGCAGACCCACCTACATACATACATACATACATACGGAGTACATACATACATACATACTTAGTAGTACTTTTCTAAACAAACTTTAGACTACTTGCTTGCCATGAACAATGGCAACGGTAAATTCTATTAAAACTACAAAAAGCTACAACAGCAACAACAACAATCCAGCCAGACAGCCAGCCACCTATAACAGTAATAACAGCAACAACAGCAAGAGTAACCGCAACACATCCTTCATTCGTTCGCAATTTTTCCCTCTCTCCAACACGCTCACCCGCTCTTTCTCTCTCTCCCCCTCTCACTTTATCTTTGTCAAATACGCTCGCCATTGCTGCAGTGGCGCCTGGGATTGCGGAGAAGGCAAAAAATAAAAACTTTGCCGAAAACTTCTTCGTGAGGCAAATATTGCGCGACTGGCTTAGTTATTGTTGTTGTTGCTGTTGCCGTTATTGTTGTTATTGTTGTTGTTGTCGTTGAAATCATAACATAAATTAAGTTAAAACTATGCCTGATAAATGCTAAACTTTAGTTACACGAATTCCAACAAAACGATGAGAAACCGAAAGTTAAAGCACAAGAATAAGAAGAAGACAAAGATGGGAGAGAAACTAAAATAAAAAAATAAAAATAAAACTAATAATAATCATCATCATCATCGACCTAAGGCTAATTTAATTTGTTGTAGTTACGTACACACGTTCAAAGTTACACTTTAATACACGCACCAAGAGTTAGATACAATATTAACAGTTAGTATTTAGTATGAGTACACATTGATACGATCTATATATTGTATGTAGATATATATATATATATATATAAGTATGTAGTTATATATTATGTATGTAGCTCACGAGAGTTTAGGTTCAGTTACTTAGACTACTTAGTCATACGATACGAGTAGTACACAATAAAGAAGAGGGGGGAAACACATTAAAAATCAAACGTAAGTTCAAACAGAGCGAGAAGAATGGGTACACTTAGAGTCTTTCATATTTAAGTAGAAGGAGAGACAGAGATATACATATTCATAAATATATACTTGTATATATATATATATATATATATATATATATATATATATATATATATATATGTAGTTATATATAGTTATATATATATATATATATATATATATATATATATATATATATATATATATATATATATATATATATATATATATATACGTATATATATATATACATATATATGTATGTAATAGAGATGTAATATATTGAGAGTGAGAGAGAGAGAGAGAGAGAAAGAGTTAGAGAGTGTTAGAGAGAAACACAAACAAAAAACGTAAACAAATGAGACAAACGAAAAGTTCGAAACACACTCGAAAACGATGCGATTCAAAAAAAGAAAAACTTATAAAAAGGAAAAACGGAAAACGGAAAAACAGAACTGCTCTGCAAATCTCAAGCACGCAACTCACTTGAAGAGCCGCCGCCAGCGCCCGGTGGCGGATAGGAGAACCAGAATTGATGTGCCAGTTTGGAGTGGCCCAATTGTTGGGCTTACTGGAAAGCAGAAATAGAGTAACACACATTAGTACGAATTGCAGCTAGATTGCTAGATTGTTATTATTATTATTAATATTATTTCTATGGTGATTTTCGATGATGATGAGGTGCACGGAATGCACGCGAATCTCGAGCCGAGCGCACCCAACGTGCCTGAGCGCAGTCGAATAACTGTACACCCTAAACACCACAAAATAGATGTAAACGCGCGCCATATACATACCAACACTTATATATATACAAGTATATAAACTAAATACACATATGTATGTATGTACATGTGAGTACGTTTGTTGTTATGCCACGGCATAAACAATGCAGAGAATATCAGCCATATGTCTGCCACCGTCGAACATGACAGGCGAACTCAAGTGGTTCCTCGTTTCAGTTTCGGTTTCAGTTTTTGTTTTCTATTTTCTGTTTTCTGCTTTCTTTTTTCTATTTTTTTTTTTTTTTTCTGCCTCTGTGTGTTCGTTTATTGGAGCGTCAAAAAGTCGAGCGTTGGCCAACAGCGATGAGAACAATGAAAATTGCAGCCAAAACAATTTGATTTTCAGTTTGAATTTTATTTTATTTTATTTCATTTTAAATAAAATCATACAGACAACAAATAGTCCGACCATATGCCAAATGGGTCGGCCAACGACGCCAACGAATCCCCTCAAGTGCTTGTTGTGTGAGAAGCATAAATTATAAATACGATTTGCAGCACTGGTTAACAGTTGCTGTTCTTGTCAAATGATTCAAGTCAACCAACGACATACTTGTACAAGTATTTTCGCTCTGCAGCTGACTTTTTTCTGTGCATTTATAATAATTATTGAATTAATTTAACAAATTTATAACAACATAGAAACTTAGAGAGTGAACTAATCTTGACTCAGTTAAGTGGTTTAGAACAATCTTTTTAATATACACACAGAGGTAATCAAAAGTAAAACACACTTGCACGTGCCACGAAAGGAGTCTTCTTTCAAAAGAATTCCTAATTCATGTAATTTTTAATTAATTATACCTTGACATCAGTGACCATCAGCCCAGTTGCGGGCAAATTCAGGCGTCAATATCTCTTTTTCAAATTTGTTGAAAATAACATAACAAAATTAACTGAACTAACCCTTAAAATCTTCTTAGCAACATTTAATAGTGTATTTAGGCTATTCAGCGGGCATTACATCAAACCAATAGTTCTCTCAACATTATTATTACAGAACACATTTGCATTTCAAATATTTTGTGAAAATAATATAAGCAATAAGAATATAATAAAATTTCAACAATTAACTAAAACTCTTATAATGTTGGCAACATTTAATCGCATCGTAGTGTATTTAAGCTATTCACCTGGCACTACAGCAAACCTAAAGTTCTCTCAACATTATTATTTCAGGACACATTTCCACTTCAAATTTATTGTAATAATATAAACAATAAGAATATAATAAAAATTCAACAATTAACTAAAACTCTTATACTTTTGTTAGCAACATTTAATCCCATTGTAGTGTAGTTAAGCTATTCAGCTGGCATTACAGCAAACCAAAAGTTCTCTCAACATTATTATTTGAATTTCAAATGTTTTGTGAAAATAATAAAAGCAATAAAAATATAATAAAAATTCAAATTTTAACCGAAAACTCTTGTAATATTGTTGGCAACATTTAATCGCATTGTAGTGTATTTAAGCTATTCAGCTGGCATTACAGCAAACCAAAAGTTCTCTCAACATTATTATTACAGAACACATTTCCACTTCAAATTTATTGTAATAATATAAACAATAAGAATATAATATAAATTCAACAATTAACTAAAACTCTTATACTTTTGTTAGCAACATTTAATCCCATTGTAGTGTAGTTAAGCTATTCAGCTGGCATTACAGCAAACCAAAAGTTCTCTCAACATTATTATTTGAATTTCAAATGTTTTGTGAAAATAATAAAAGCAATAAAAATATAATAAAAATTCAAATTTTAACCGAAAACTCTTGTAATATTGTTGGCAACATTTAATCGCATTGTAGTGTATTTAAGCTATTCAGCGGGCATTACATCAAACCAAAAGTTCTCTCAACATTATTGTTATAGAACATATTTGCATTTCAAATATTTTGTGAAAATAATATAAGCAATAAGAATATAATAAAATTTCAACAATTAACTAAAACTCTTATAATGTTGGCAACATTTAATCGCATCGTAGTGTATTTAAGCTATTCACCTGGCACTACAGCAAACCTAAAGTTCTCTCAACATTATTATTTCAGGACACATTTCCACTTCAAATTTATTGTAATAATATAAACAATAAGAATATAATATAAATTCAACAATTAACTAAAACTCTTATACTTTTGTTAGCAACATTTAATCCCATTGTAGTGTAGTTAAGCTCTTCAGCTGGCATTACAGCAAACCAAAAGTTCTCTCAACATTATTGTTATAGAACATACAAGTATTTACATTTCAAATTTATTATAATAATATAAACAATAAGAATATAATAAAAATTCAAATTTTAACCGAAAACTCTTGTAATATTGTTGGCTACATTTAATCGCATTGTAGTGTATTTAAGCTATTCACCTGGCATTACAGCAAACCAAAAGTTCTCTCAACATTATTATTACAGAACACATTTCCACTTCAAATTTATTGTAATAATATAAACAATAAGAATATAATAAAAATTCAACAATTAACTAAAACTCTTATACTTTTGTTAGCAACATTTAATCCCATTGTAGTGTAGTTAAGCTATTCAGCTGGCATTACAGCAAACTAAAAGTTCTCTCAACATTATTATTTGAATTTCAAATGTTTTGTGAAAATAATAAAAGCAATAAAAATATAATAAAAACTCAAATTTTAACCGAAAACTCTTGTAATATTGTTGGCAACATTTAATCGCATTGTAGTGTATTTAAGCTATTCAGCTGGCATTACAGCAAACCAAAAGTTCTCGCCCCGTGGCCAACATCAACATTATTATTATTATAGAACATATTTGGCCAGTTGCCAAAAATTAAAGCAGCGTCTGTGGCAGTGGCAGTGGCACACAGGCAGCGTGCTAAAACAAAACAACGCCCGGCCATCAGACAGGTGGGGCGTGACGATGGGGCAATGGCGGGGGAGGGAGGGGAGGCGTGGCAGATTGGCGCTGCGGTCGCTGTCGGTTGCTGTTGGCATTGAACGCCACGAAAAATTTGCTATTTGCACGCGAATTGATGAATTACATTTTCCGCACTTGTAGAACACACACACATACTCCCACACACACACACACACACACTCCCACACACACACACGCACAGACATGCATGGGCACATATGGGGCAGTCAGCTTGTAGCATCAATTCTGTGGCCATCATCCACTTCCACATTTTCACATTTCCATTCAAATTTTGCAGTCCCGTTTGCATTTTCATGCACCAACAGGCCGATTAAAGATAATTATAGCGCTGCAATTGTCCGGACCTTAAATTTCGACGATTTGTGCAACTGATAAGGCAGTTAAGTTTGCCACCGCAGGCGAATTTCCGAGAGGCCCCACCAGATAAGGCACATAAATTGCCACTCACCTGGCGGGCATTGTTGCCGATTTAGTACCTCCTGTTGTTTTCGCGATTGTTGCTTCATCTTCCGGAACGAGAGACCCCCAAAAGCGAGCGAAAACTATTTATTGAAAGCTTACGCCAAATAAATTCTGACATTATATCATTCCTTTCTCGAAATTGAAACTCAAGAACTATAGCCCAAAAGAGACTTACATTGGTAAGAAAATTGCAGATTGAAGTAGTAAAGTCCTTAGAAATTAAATTTAAAAAAATAAAATAAAAAATAAATACAAGAGGTTATACCAATGTACCTAAAAGGTATAAGGTTTGCGGAATGTGAAAAATGCTAGAATGCACAGAAGGAGAAGGAAGAATGACAAGATGAGTCGATGAAACCGTGTCTGTCTATCTGTTCGTCTGTATGAACCCCTGGACCTCAGAGACTATAGGACCTAGAAACACACATTTTTGTACACAGATGCCATATGTGTGTATGCATTACGAGTTTATTTTATGTCTTTGTTACGCATCACATTTCCCCGATAATGAGGATTTTCCGTAACGCCTATATCTCGCAGACTATAAGAGCTAGAGACACCAAATTCTGGAATACGGAGAAATGTGTTCACGTATTCTTTGTTTTTTTTATTTTTATTTATTTATTTATTTTTATTTTTATTTTTTATTTAGACGACCATGTTCGTCTGTCTGTTTATCCGTCTGTCCGTATGAACCCTTGGATCTCAGAGACTGTAAGGCCTAGAGACACTAAATGTTGTACACAGATGCCTTATGTGTGTATGCACTACGAGTTTGTTTTATTTTCTTGATGCACCCCCACTAATTCCCCGATAATGGGGATTTTACTCCACCCGTTGGTGCCACCGATTGTTTGAGAGCTCTACCTAGATTAAGAGTATATCTATTTTATTCATCCGACATGTGAAATAAATTTCAGCACAGCTACATCAGTAGACTGCTTGAATTGGACATGAAGTCCGAACTTTTCCAAAAGTATGACAGCTGAGAATAGAAATAAATTGCATCCGAATCGAATATAACTTTCAATATCTCTTTACTTTCTGCGTATTCGATTATTGACAAAACATTTGGGTATACGAATCCTCCTAATTCAACTATTCTTGTCTTTCTATCAATATTTTGGCAGCAATTTCAGCGCACAATAGGAATTTATATATTGAAGTGCAAATAATATATAGAAAGCAGCTGCATTATAATGCAAAAGTTTGCCCAATTTAACGATCGCTGACCCCACAGCAGTGTTATTTAATTTGAAAAAGTTCATTTTAAAGAGCTCAGAAAAAATAGCCTCAAGACAGGTCGGGAGGGAGGTAGGTAGGGATTGGTGCTTAAAATGTAAATATTTTCACTTGAACTAGTTGAATCGCAAACTCTGTGTTGCAAGTTGGAATATGCACCTGACATACCAAACAACCCCTTAACCCCCTACTCCCCCCTCTCATAGCGTTTGCTGACAACAGAGCATAAACATAAATTGTGCACAAATTTTGTTATTCTTGCAAGCGCAATTTGTGAAAATTGATTTTCTTTTATTCCATTTCCGCTCCCGCACACAAATTTTCTTTGCAATGCACTTTACATTCCCTAGCCCAGATTTGCATCCTTTCTTCTCCTCTTTTCCTTTCTTTTCCCTTTTTTTTTGTGTTTTTAGTGAAAATTGTCGAAGCAAGACTGAATAAAGACATTGGAAAAAACACACGGCTGCTGGAGTTGCAAGCGATTAGCCACTATTCTATGCAAAGAACTCGTATATACTTGTACAGTGAAAACTCTCTAAATGGACACCTCTTTTATCAAAAGAGGGCTTCTTAGGCGGACGCTTTGTCTAGAACGTTCGTTTTAATTTAGTTTTAAGAGCAATTTCGCCTCTCTTGTGTGGACAGGCTCTTGTCCTCACATGGACACTACTTTTCGAAAAATCCAAATAAGCCTTCTCTTGGCTGGACGCGAACCTCTTTGAAACAGACGCTGACATGCATAGACATGTCAATTCACCAACGTACAGTTGCGAGTTACTATTATTATTTTCAGATTCCTTTTATTTTGAAATATTTCTTTCTTGACTACAAGAGGACTATAAATTGTGTTATTATTGTTGTTATTATTTAATTATTTAACAATTATGCTATATTTTGAATAGTGCTTGGCGAAATATCGCAAAAAAACCATTAAATGTAAATAACAATATTCACCCCCAAAAAATCAAACTTTTATAATAATTTACAATAGTTGGAGAACATTTTTGAACGGCGCTCTGATTTTAAAGGTAAACTTGAAGCAATAAATTTGGATGTTCTTTTAATTTTATCTCTGATTGTTATGTGTATATAATAATATACAAGTCAGTTTGATTTAAATCCGTAAAACAATTAAACAGGCAACAGCAAAAAAATGAAAACAATTTCTAATTATTCACTTAAGCGGACAAAAGTTGGCCGGCGGTGATTAAGTTTCGGACCAAGAGAGTTTCCACTGTAGATATGAAGCTATTGAGAAGCTAAGTATAGAATCAGTGTTCTTCCATTAAATGATAGTGACAACATATTTCGCATTTAAATCAAATATAAACAACATGAATTTAACTAGAAACATATTCAATTACTGTTTTAAATATGAATAATATTCAAGACAAAGTGTAAACCTTTATCATGAAAGTGTTTTAAATTATTTCAAATAACAAATAGCTTAATTAACTATATTTCATAGTGAATTTTAATATGTTTCTCAACTTTCATTTGAAGTTCTGTTGTAGTTGATTTACATATATTCGAACACTTTCATATTTTTAAAAGTTCATTCGAATATTTGCAAATGCAAAATAGAGCCAAACGTTGACTAGAATCCCAATTCGGTTTTCAGCGGCTGTGTGGCATAAATAGAAAGTTTAACTCCCTGCCATATCAGCTATTCTTCACTTTAAATATCAATAAAAACGTCAATATTTTGATAAAAACAAACTAGATTTAAAAATAACTTTCTAATAAAAATGTTCTATAAAATAAATATATATAACAAATAATACTGTTGTAAGACAGTAGACACAAGAAGTGGGAAAATATTTTATAATTATAAAAAAGTAACCTTTAAATAAAACCCATCATCACTTGTGATTTGATATCGCCACATTTTAAAATTAATAATTTCATATTAAACTCGAAAAAACGATGGATGAAAATATTTAAAGAGACGTGCATTTTTTTGTGAGTGTAGAGTGCATAAGTCTCCTCTAACTTATGCACAAGGGTGTAGGCAGCTTTTACCAAAGGGGGTGGGGGGCCAAAAAATTAATATTTTGATCAAATAATGCAAGATGCATTTAAAAAATATCTTATGCATAGGAATAATGAAAAAACTTCAACAAATCCAGCTTAGAACCATTTTAAGGCGAAATAGTCATAATAATGAACGTGTGGTCGACTTTATATGGCAAAATTTTTTCCCCCCTGCCTACGCCCTTGCTTATGCATTTAAAGAGCTGCTCAAACATAGGAGCAACTTTTACAAAAACCCTCAGAAAACTGTGCACTTGAAATGGTGCCAGATTTATTCTACAAAATATCGATAGAGCACAAAAGAATTTGCAGTACACATTAGGTATTAGTTATCCAATCACTGTGCCAGGTGAATACAGTATGTGCGATGAGTAGATATATGGAGGCGATGATGATGGTGATAAGCATTACGGGGAAGCCGATGAGGAAGAAGGCCAGGAATGTGATTTTATAGCCGTGCTGGTTGGCCATACCAGCCGTCACAACGTTGGCCGAGGCCCCAATCAGTGTCCCATTGCCGCCAAAGCAAGCCCCATAGGCCAGGGCCCAGATCAAGGGGGAGAGCGGCAAATTGAGCTCCTCGTTCTTGGCCAGCTTAATTACCAGCTTCAGCATCATGGTCGTAATGGGTATGTTATCCACAAAGGCTGATGTCATTCCGCTCACCCAAAGTATGATCAATATGCCAACTGCCAGCTGGTGCTTCTTCTTCACACTCATGATGACAGCTATGGCCTGATCGCCCACCCAGTCGATTAGGCCGAGCTCGGCCAGGGCCTCCATTAGGACGAACAGAGCGGCAAAGAAGAGCAATGTGGACCATTCGACCTGGGCGAGCACCACTTGCATATCCTCCAGATTGGCGAGAACGAGCAGCAGGAGGGCGGCCAGCACGGCGGCCCAGGCCAGGGAGACGCCCTTCATGAAGGGCAACGAGTGGAGGAAGAAGAGGGCCATCGCAAAGATCAAAGCGATCACGGACTTGACAAGCAGCGGCTTATTCCTTATCTTGTACTTGGATTGAAGATCGGCCAGCGTCTCCTCGTAGTTGCTGACCGGATGTAATGTGAACGCTCCGGTTGTAGTCCCCTTCCGCTGCTTATACTTGTTCTTCATCTCATCCACCCGGATCAATATATCCTCCTTCAGATGCTCCTCATTCTTCGTCTGGGGCTGCAATTTGTTTGCATGCTTCTCCAAAGTTCTTATCGACTGACGCAGCGCCCTCTCCTCGGTCATGTAGACGCGCTTGCGCAGCGTAAAGTAGAGGAATACGAAGACCATTCCCATGCTGCCCGCCACTCCCCAGAACATGTGCAACGTGAAGTTGACGAAGTCGATGTTGGCGCGTTGCACGTATTCGTTGGTCGCTATGATAACATTGGGCGGATCGCCCACCGGCGTCATGGTGCCGCCGATGTTCGAGTAGATGACCACGCAGATGAGGACCATGTTGGTGCGCAGCAGCATGACCTCGCAGAGACGAATCGTGACCGGTGTCATGAGCAGCATCATGGTCACGTTGTCAAGGAAGGCGGACAGAGTGCCCGTGAACATGCAGAGGAAGAAGATCAAGGGCCAGGCATGTCCCTTTGCCATGCGATAGGCGAACACGGCCAGATAGTCGAAGATGCCGGTCTCGGAGAGCACAGCCACCAGGATCATCATGCCAAAGAGCAGCATCATCGTCTCGATATCGATCCAGGCGACAATTTCCTCCAATGTGGGACGAGCACCCATCATGGTCAGGATCGCGACGCCGGTGCTGCTGGCCAACAGGGCGGCAAATGTGCGGTCCGTGACTTCCCAGATAATCAGAACGTACATGCCCACCAGCAATATCGCTCCATAGATGGTGCCCTTTTGCGTGTCGACGGGATGAGAGTTGAATGATATTTCTACGGCTCTAGTGTCCGGAGACTGCAGTAGACGCAAATCTACAACCAGTTCGCTGCTTTTAAGTGTCTCCTCATCTTCACTTACATCGAAATGCGATTTCACTTTCTTCAGATCGCCCGCGGGGCGCGGTTTCAATATCACAAGCCAATCATCGGTTTTGCTGATTACCTTACGGCTATCTTTATCGACACGATTTATGAACACCACAATACGCGGCGCATCGCCAGCTTCCGACCTTTTGCGGGTAGTAAGTGTCAAATCCTCGTTTATGTGACCCAGCAACGATATAGCTACGCGCTGCGATTCCGTCTCCTTTGGCGACCACTCCATCTGAACATTCGGAGCCAATGAGAGCAGTGTGGATTGCAGCTCTTCGGGTGGCCTTATAATTAGATTTACTGTAAAGTATATCCAAACCAATAGCAGCAAACAAATCTTTGCGATATTATAAGCAAGTCGCCAGTGGCTTCTCTCTTTTCCATCTTCCGGAGAATCGTCCATTGCTCTTCTCGCTGTTAACTGACGAGGAAGATACGACGGAGACACTCGAAATTTTTAATCAAAACTAACTAACCTGTTTGTCACCTTGTCTCTCTAGTTCTTGAGAATTGCGATGTTGATTAGATCCTGGTTTTAGGGTTGACCGATCAAACCGCTCCAGCAATGCGGGATTGCTGCTTTTCATGCCTCAAATTTGAGTGAATTGAAAACGTTTCAACGTTTGAACGTTCAACTAACCTGACAGTGATTTCAAAAGCAACAACGTTCGAACGTTCAACTAACCTGACAGTGATTTCAAAATCAACACACACATGTAAAAAGTTCTTCCATTTGGGTCTGGTGTTTGTAGCGCCCTTTACAGAGTTGTATAAGTAATCAGCGAAAAGAGATCTATTCAAGCGCAGAATTTGAGAAAGCCAGCAGAATCAGACCAATAGTTTTCAAAGCAGCTATCTAAACATATCTCAACCTAACGTATAACATACTATATACTTGAGTTGGGATTAAAATGAATAGCTGTAGTGGGAACGGTTCGGTTTCAAAAAGGTCTTTTATCCCCCAGTCAGCTTAAATTCCGCTCCCATTCCAGTGGGGGAAGTTACCAAATATCTGAGATCCACTCTTGACAGGAAATTCACCTGGATGTCCCACACAAAGCGGCTCTTCAACCTCCCAAACAGCCACGCAGAAGACCAAAGAGACTTCACCCATTAGAGCCTTCTTTCCATCAATAAGCCCATTATTTCATATAATTTAAAAAACTATATAGAAAAAATGTAACATAAATATTTAAAACGTATTATTAAAAACCTTAATATTAAGAGATTTTAAATAAAGCTCAGAAATAAAAACTGTGTGTCAGGGAGTATTGAAATAATTTAGTTTGAGTTAATTTTTTAGAAAAAAGAAAAGAAAAAAAATGGCTACAAAATCGTTATCGCTGTTGGAATATAAAAAATATATAAAAATACCCATTAAAAATGGCTAGAAACATCGCTAAAATTAGCCTGAAAATGGCCAAAAGAACTGCTCAAAATAGCTAGAAATCCCGTTATAAAATCCCTTACAAAAGTGGCTAGAAAACTCACTAGAAATGTGTAGAATATGCTAGAAAATGGATACAAAACGACTATAAATTACAGCTGATTTTTGTTAACATTTATTATTTCAATTTCACCAGCTGGTCGATTGGTTTCGTCACAAAAAAGGTTGCCGATTCAGCATTCAAGACCCCCACAAAAGAAGTTTCACTTCAAGAACAAACAAAAAAGACTTTTTTTTTGCTTGTGAAGTTGTTGGAAACAATGTCCGAACATTGGTAAGATTATTGCTTTAAGGGTACAACAGATATGCTATATCGTACATATATTTATTTCGCCTTTACTTCATTTGTTTGATTTATTAAATTTAGTTTAGTGACAATGGCAGGACAATGCATGTGAAGCAATCCTCTAAAAGGCTCGAATCTTTTCTTTAGAGCCCTTCTACAAGTTGCCATTCGCATTTATTTCCCTCCAGTCTGGTATAGCCTTGGCTATTCTAGTGTGTCCTTCGTTATCCTTAAATCGCAATAAAAATTGTATTTTGTTTATAATATAAGGCAAGGAAAATAATGAATATAAAGTTCAATTTCATGCAACTTAAAGCAACAAAATTGAATGATTACATTTTTTCATTTTTTTTTTTTTCACATTATACTTTTCTTTTAGTTTTTGTTGCTGCCACTCAGGTGTATCTATGTGTGTGTGTGTGTGTAGCCCAGCCATGCGCAAACGTTTCCCACGACTTTTAGCGGCAACAACAGCAACAACAATGCGGCTATTACAGCGATGGCACGCTTGTCCTTTGAGTGGCTAGAAGCACTGTAATGGCGCATAAGTAGCGGTGGCTCGCAACTAAGTAAGTCAGACAGCCACCCAGCCACCCAGCCAACCACCCAGCCAGCAACGTTGCAAGTAAGTGCATACATATACGAGCACTAAATATGTTTGTGTGGCACACACCTTTCCGACTCACTTCTGTGCCACTCTGTGTTCTTCTACTGCTTCTGTTCGTGCTGGTTCTGATATAATCAACTTATGTAGTGCATTTCTATTTGCAGTTATTTAATTGTGTTTATGGGGGCTGCCACTAGCAGCAAATCAAACAGACCCTCGGACAGACAGTCAAACAAACGAATGTACAAACACTCGAACAAGCAACCTAACACACACACACTCCCAGAATTCCAGCATCTAACAATTGTCCGCCCAAATAGCAAAAAGGGTATACTATTACGTCTCTAGAAACTATGTAACAAAGGGCAAAAGGAAGTATATCTGTATGTACTCGTACATACTACTCGCAAATATTCTTAATCAGCACGTCAAGATAAATCGATGTAGACTTGTTTGTCCGTCTGTCTGGATGAACGCCTGGATTGTGAACACTGCTTAGCCCACACTAGCCACGCTTGCTCTATAGACTCTTCATATCCTTACACAACACAAGTTTATTTTGATTCCACCAATCCCCCCCCCCCCCCCCCCCCCCCCCCATTCTTCGCCCATTTAACTAATAGAAATTTCTATCTCAATTTTAATTTCAACTCGATTGTTGATTCTTTAAAAGCACACTTCTGCACATAAACATTCTACAGATGTGAAGGGATACAAAGAATTGTCGACTAAGGAGCTACATATTATTTAAGACCGCAATTTGTTGTTAGAAGCAGTTATAATTATAAATCGTTTCTACCATAGCAAGTATCTTAAAACACTTAAGGCTGCCACGGCACTGGGTTTAAAAGGAAAACAAATTGTGAGTCGGGGCAATACGCAATAGAAGAATTAAAGATTGATAGAAGATACACATTTTTTTTATAATGATAATTATTCAACAATGATCGCTAATGTACGGCTTGAAAAGAACGAAAATGGTTATCGCTTTCGGCTATCAACTTAGAAAACCGCTAGAAAATTGCTTACAAATTCACTATAAATAGCTTTAAAAAAAAAAACGGTTCAAAGTGCCAGAAAAACAATTATATGTAGGTAGAAAACAAGTAGAAAATCCACCAGAAAATGTCTAGGAAACCCGCTAAAAATTGGTAGAAAAATCATTTCAAAATGACCAGAAGCACCGCAAAAAATATCTAGAAAAACCAGCCATCTGATCTACTACCGTGCTATTGGTTTCGTCACAGAAAAGGTTGCCGATCCAGCATTCAAAACCTGCCACAAAAGAAGTTTCACTTCAAAAGGGTTGACTGTTTGCACGAAAAAAGTCATTTACTTTTAGGTTTAGGTGCAAATTATTGAGCGTTTCGAAAACGGAAATTGTTTGCGGAAGCAAGAATTTTACGGAAAAGTTCTGTGTTTATGGAAATGGTAGCAAGGCTACCTGTTTTCTCGTGTGTTTTGCGCTTCAGACGCGATAAGCCACGATCAAAAACACGAGCCAGGCCCATCTCTGCTCTCCACTCTAGACCCGCTGCTTTCTGCTGCACTTTGTGGCATTCTGTGGCGTTGGCTGGCGAGCGTTTTAATTAGCTGTTGCCACTGCTGTTGCTGCCACTGCCAGTGCCACTTCCACTGCTGCTGCTGCAACCTCCAGTCTCCAGCACATTGTGCATTTATCAGCGTCGCAATGTTGACACTGTAGCACGCTTTTTGGGTGAACGGGGCAGCACAAAGAAAGCAACGGAAAAGGACAATCAAAAGAAATGTGTGTGTGTCTCTGTGTCTGTGTGTGGCAAGTTGGCAGCTAAATCGTTTATCAGACTCACACACACACTCACACACACAGACCCGCACACTTGATATACCATTTCGCCCATTATCTTGCTTGAAGCCCTGAGCACTGGGCACTTGATTTATTTTCGTTGTCACTGCCACCAAGGAGCAGCGGCAGCACTTTTAAAAGCGCCAGCCAGCACGAAAGGACTTGCAACTGCTACTCTCTACGCGTCCTTCCCTACATCGACTAAAGGAATGTTTTGACGTCTTTACAATTGTTTTTTCCTGATAGCAGGCAACAACACAAATGCAGCAAGTAATGTCCCTAAATATTTTCTGAAGCTCTCAAAATACAAATATTTTACTGAAGGAACACGGTTATCTACCTATTTCGTGCCTTCGTGCGATTACATGCAAGGGGTAGAACATGGTGAGCAGGACCTTTGGAATCTATAGTTCGTACAGGATGTACCGACTTTTGCTATAGATTTGATTTCGACTGGAAGCGGAGTTATGAGCATCGAACAAGGAGCAAAACTATAAAAAAACATATATATATATATATAAAAATATTTAAAAATAAAAAAATATATAAAAAAAATATACATAAAAAATTATAAAAACATATTTTTTTTTTTAAAATATTAAAATAATATTAAAAAAATATAAAATAAATATGAAAAAATAAAAATATGTATAAAAATATATATAAAAATATAAAAAAAAATATATATAAAAAAAATATTTAAAAAAATATATAAAAAGTTTATAAAAAAATAAAATACATACAAAAATATCTAAAATAAATATATAACAAATATTTTAAAAAATATATAAAAATATAAAAAAAAAATAAAAAAAATAGTTTTTTTTTGTTATAAAATGCAACTTTTTTTTTCTAAAAAAAAATATATATAAAAACAGCCAAAACCTTGATGAAATTAATTGAAAAGTAATATCTCAAAATCAACGATTCGTTGCATTTTAATTGAATAATGGAGTCTGCTTCTTGCTGCTGCTTTGTTCCGCACAAGTTGACTGATAACCAAATACTATTGGGTCATGGCTTGTAATTGATTTTTTTTAACAAAAAAAAAGAAACAATTTTAATCATTAACCACTACTAGATTGGCAGCGGGCGACTTTTCCTTTTTTGCAAAAATTGGGTTTGCTAATCGAAGGGAGACTTACCTTCACTACATAACTATTGTTTTTTCGGGAATCACCCTCCTTCACAGACAGTTCCCTTGAGATTAACTTGTGCATTTCGTACCCTTCGATTGTAGATCTAACTTAACTCTACAATACTATCCCCTCTTTTCATTATTTCATATTTAAATTTTTTTTTTTAAATTACATGTAATGTTTTAAATCTTTTCTATATTATGTAAAAATGGGCTTTATTCCCGATATTTAACATCTTTCTTCTTTTACAATCAACCTCTTTTGAATTTTTATCGACTTATTTCATCTCTTATATCGACTAGTCGTATTTTCGATAACTTACTGACTA